GAGGGGAGTGTGTGTGAAATGAGATGCCATGTGCCAACACAGACCTGACACATGGTAAGTGTTCAATAAACATGAACTCTTAGGAGAATGGGACAGGAGCCAATGTTAGCCAAGGCAGATTCATAGCCAAGGCCACCCAATGCCCTGCCTCAGAGCCCAGAGCGGAAAAGGTCTAGAGCAGAGCCACCTCTGGCCTTTCTCCCAACCCCCAAGCAAGTACCCTCATTGCCTCCTTGGAATGATGAGTCACCCTTGGGTCCCTGGCTTATTACCTTCGTGGAGGGAGGGCTCATGGTGTCTGGAGCTCAGAGTGGGGTAGCCAGGAACGGTGGTGTCTTCAGAGGTCCAAATTGCCAGGAATCTTGAGGCCGTTGACTATGACCTGCTACCAGGGGCCTGGGGTTTATAGTGCTCTGAGATGGTGGGGGAGAGATGGGCACTTGCGTCCATTCTGGGGCCAGACAAAGGCAAGGCTAAGATTAGCCTCCCACAGGGGGGCCGTCTCCAAGCTGGGCCCAAGGAATGGCCACTGAAGCATTGACAAGCAGGAGTTGGATCACTAATCCCCCTGGACCCCCCTTCATACGTCTGCTTGCTCCCTGGAGATGGGGCGGTCTCCGGGCACTAACGAGGCCACCTTGCACCCAGGAATCTGGGAGCACAAAAGCGGCCTTGGCTGGGGCGCTGGCCTGGGACAATGTGGTGGTGGGAGCAGCTGCTAATTAAGGGTAGGAGAAGAGGCAGTCTTAAGACCCACTGTCCACGTGTGGGAGGGCAGAAAGGGAGGAGGGCGGCCAGGCAGCAGGCTGCTTCCTCACGGCTCCTTGTTGCTGCCCCTGGGATCTTCCCTAGGGCCTTCTTCCATAGAAAAGGCTCCTATGCTGTCCCCAGCCCCAGTTCTCTTCTTCCCTTCTGTCCCTTTCACCAGCTTTCAAGGTGGCAAACCTTGAAATCCCAGCCTGGGAGTAGGAGGAAAGGAAGCTGAATCTGGTGTTACCTTTCCACCTCCTGGCTTTCTCCCTGGATCAGACTGCGTGGGAGTGAGGGGTGGAGCCCCAACCCACCATCAACAGGGAGTGAGCCTTCTCAAGGCCCTAGTTTCTCTTATTCAGGGTACCATTTATGGAGCACCTCCTCTGGACCAGAACCTGCACTGGGTGCTGGAGTGACAGTGGTAAATAAGACATGGCCCCAGCTTTCAAGGAATTCACAAGTCCAGGTGGGAAGGCCACCTGGGAATAATGACTGTTTAGTGTGGGGAAGGAATGACATAAGTAGGCATGTAGGGCAAAGTTGAACCAATTACTTATGCCTTTGGTGGGGCAGGTCTTCAAAGGCCTTGCATGAAAAATGGATTTCTATAAGATAAGGTGGGAGCTATGGTGGCGTAGTGCCTAAGGCATTTGATTAATAACCAGAAGACTGGCAGTTCAAACCCACCAGCCACTCCTCAGAAGGAAGACTGGGCAATCTACTTCTTTTTTTTTTTTTTTTTGGTTTTGTATGTTTACTATATGGAACAAAAAATACATATGATGTAATGTTCGGTTGAAAGAGAAAATAATAAAAATGAAATACAAACCATTATGTCAATTCCATATATAAACCATACCTCAATGTTATTATAACTTTGGAAGCACCACATTGGGCAATCTACTTCTGTAGAGATACCACCTCAGAAACCCAAGGAGGGGTCGCTATGAGTCTAATTGACTCAACATCAGTGAGTTTTTTTTTTTTAATCAGCTAAGGTGGGGCGTATGGGAGCAGTGGTGGTTTAGTGGTAGAATTCTCACCCATCATGCAGGAGACCTGAGTTTAATTCCTGACTTATGCACAGCCACCACTTATACGTCAGTGGAAGCTTGAATGTCCTATGATGCTGAACATGTTTCATCAGAGCTTTCAGACTAAGATGGACTAGGAAATAAAGGCTTCACGGTCTACTTCTGAAAAGCAGCCAGTGAAAACCATATGGACCACAACAGTCCAATCTGTACTGATCATGAGGATGGTGCAGGACCAGACAGCATTCCATTCTGCTGTGTCTGGGATTGTCATGAGTTGGGGCTGACTCAGTATCAGCTAACAACAAAGGTGAAGGGAGAATATTCCACAGAAGGGACAACTTGAGCAAAGGCAAGGAGGCATGCCAGTGCTCAGCCCATATGTGGGGGGTGTGGTCCTCATAGTCAAGGGTTTGTCACAAGGAAAGGGGAGAGAAGTGACTGGAGATGTAGGTGAGGGCCAGAGTCAGAGGGTCCCACAGGCCTAGCTGATTACATCTTGATCCTGTGGGTAAAGAGAAGCTGTGGGAGGGTTTTAGTAGAAAGAGGTCATGGGTGGGTGGGTGGGAGCAGGTGCCTGGATGTGGAGGCATGGACTCAAGAAGCAATTCAGAGACAGAATTGGAAGTGTGGCAATGAATCAGGAGTGGGTGCTGCCTTTATCTAGGAGGAGCTATGGGGCCTTGGATAACCCTCACAACTTCCCTGAGTCTCAGTGTCCCCAGTGGTCAACCCTGATGATTTCTGATTCTTTATGATCTAAAGTAGAACAACCTTCCCATCCTGGATGTGATTTGTGCGTGTTGGGCCAGGGAAGAGACCAATACTAAGCCAACATAGGTGAAGTTGGGAACCAGCCCTTCCACATTGAAGGAAATCTTGGAATAGGGGATGTGCCTGCTGGGCTGGCCTAAGCCCTGGCAGGTGTCCCTGAGAGCTCCAGGTGCACATCTCACTGCTGCCAAGTTGATTTGACTCATAGCGACCCCTCCTTGGGTTTCTGAGGCGGTATCTCTACGGAAGTAGATTGCCCAATCTTCCTTCCAAGATGTGGCTGGTAGGTTTGAACTGCCAGCTTTCCGGTTAGCAGTCAAATGCCTTAGGCACTACGCCACCAGAGCTCCCTGGGTGCACATACTTGGGCCCAATGCAGCCCAGAGCAGAGAGTAGGGGGAAAGGGATGAAAGGGAAATGGATGGGTCAAGGCAGGGAGCGCCTAGACTGGGACAGGAGCAGAACGAACGGGACCACTACACAGTTTCCCCAAAAGCAGAGACCCTGAGTCAAGAATCTGGATGCAAGAGCTTTATTTGGGAAGTCATCCCAGGAAACAGAGAGAGAGTAAGTAAGACAGGGAATGGAGGAAAACCAGGGAAGAGTGTTATTGAGTACATTACTGCTGTGGGCAACTGAGGCTAGCTTCTGTTGGGGCCCCTCTGAGAGACTGGGTAGGGGTAGGATACACTTCAGAATTGTTCCACTGAGGGTCTTTATTCACCGCCTCCTGTTCCTTATTGACCTGACTGAGGGCTGCTCCTTGGGGCATCAACTCCCCAATACTTCCAGTATGCAGTGCACTGGCCAAGCACACACGGTGGCCAGAGAGCACCCTCAGGCTGAGAGACACAGGAAGCCACAATGTGCGTGGGAACTCTCTAGTAGTGTCCTCCTAGGTGGGCTCAGGGGCAGCTGGGCAGGGTACTGCTGCCATCTGCTCCGCCCCTGAAGCCTGTGCCACAGAATTGGCCAACTAGGTTGGGCCTCCCTCAGGCCCAGCAGCTCTGATGGACAGCTTTCAGGTGAGTCAGAGTCAAAGACCTCAGCCAAGAGCTCCATCCACTGCCCCATCCGGAAAGGCCTCAGAGGAAAAAACAAGGTGGCCTCTGAGGGGATACAGGGCAGTAGGCAGTTTGGCTCAGGACACCACTCTCCTCTGCAGGAACTGGGCCAGGTGCCTGTGTCTAAGGACCCGGGGCATGTCAGGAGGGAAGGGGTAGCAGGGGGAGGCAATGAGGGTTGCCCGGAGTGCTCTGAAGGCCCCATGTCCCACCAGGTGGACTCTGGCAGGGCCCACACTGCCCCGGAACCGCAGTGACTTGTAGCAGGGAGAGGTTTCCTGAAGGCAGTGGTCAAGCTGGAAGCAGAGAGGCCAGAAGGAGGCTGTATGTGAGTGTGTGTGTCTGTGTTAAAGACTCATCATTCTCTTCCTGGAGCCTCAGGGAGGGAAGACTCATCATCCTCTTCCTGGAGCCTCTTCCCCTGCCCCTTTTCTCCTCATCACTCCCCTGTCCCCACAGCACCTTGGGAGTAAAGGGGACATGTCAGGCCCCATCTCCTATCTCATTTACCTTGTCTCGATTTTCCTCTGACAGGTTCCTCAGTCCTCTCAGCTCCACGAACACCTCATAGTGGGGTGCAGAACCCTCTGAAGAATCTGTGGACAGACCCCCATATGCACACACACTTCTCGTGAACGGGGCTGCTGCCAAGGCCAATGTCCTCTGCCCCATCTAGTCTTCCCTTCGCTGAAGTTCATGGAAACAAAAAGAGTTTCTTGGCGGGAAGTGGGGTAAAACAAAGAAGAACCTGAAGTTTAATTCTCAATATAAGTCAACTCAGGAAAGGATGGGTAGGGATGGGAGTTAGATATTTGGAAGGACTTTTGTTAGGAACAGTAAGAGGATTGAGGCTTCCTTCCTTCCTAGAAATTTACCAGCAGGGTAGGATGTGTTAGGCAGCAGCTGACACCAAAGAATGGGAGGTAGAAACCCAATGGAGAAGCTTACTCAGAATGCTACTCTCCACACAGACATGGTCCAACATCTTGGCACCCAGCCATTGCCTCACTGCACGGCCCAAGGCCTCAGAGAATACCTCTTCACCAAGATCTTCCCCGCGCACATTCAGGGTCTGGCCCAGCCTGGGCAGAAGGAAAGAGGGCTGGTAGTGGATCCCAGGGCTTAAGGATGGTCCCTCAGCCTCCTGTGGGGGGGTCACCTACCTGCGGACAAACCTGACAACTGGACACTGGTTGTAGGCACCAACCACCTGGACCACATCACCCAGGCGGCATCTGATGGGACGGAAGTGAGGATGAGGTCAGGCCCCAGGGCCCACTGGGTCATGCCCCTGCCCCTCCTGAAGGGTCCAGAAGGGCCTGGGGTAGGCAGGTGATCACCTGGTAAGGCTGATGTGGTCAGTCAGCACCAGCTCGTACTCTGTATCCTTCTGGGCCTCAGCCAGTAGGAGAGTGGAAGTAGCCTCCTCCTGGGGCCCCTCCTTGACTGGGAGCAGCTCAGTGAACGGAGCCCCAGGGGGGAGAAGGTAGAGCCCACGAGGCTGCTCTGGCCACAGGTTCAGGCCTACCACTCCTGGGGGGAGTAAGCAGCCATCTGATGGGGCTGTTGCTTCCTGGAAGGCAATCACCCCTCACCCTGAACTCCAAGCCCCAATCCTCTGAGCATCTGATCCCACTGCTGCCCTTCCATCCCATCGTTCCTCGCTTCCCCAGGCTCTAAGGCCCTAGTTGGCAAGCAGCAGAGTGTTATGGTTCTGGAGGTAGCCGACCTAGGGTTAAACCCTGGTGCTGTGTGAGGTTGTGCAAGTCTGTTAACCTCTCTGAGCTTGTTTCTGCTAATCCTCACCATATAATTTAAATACATTTAAATGACACAATTATGCAGGGGTCCATACAGTTATATAACTCACTGCCATCAAGTCAGTTTGACTCATAGTGACCCCTCCTTGGGTGGTGGTGTAGTGCCTAAGGCATTTGACTGCTAACCAGAAGGCTGGAGGTTCAAACCCACCAGCCACTCCCTGGGAGGAAGGTTGTTGGGCAATCTACTTCCATAATGATATCACCTTGGAAACCCAAGGAGGGGTCGCTATGAGTTGGATCCAACTTGACGGCAGTGAGTTTGGTTTTTTTGGTTATACTGTTATATAGGCAGCTAGCTGGAACTATGTTGACCTCTGTCTCTGCCCCCAGCCCACCTCCCTTGAGCCCTGCTAACCTCCAGAGGCAGCGTAAGCAGGTGAGAAGAAGGATAGTCCTTGGCACCATAAGGCCCCCAGCGCAGCCACAGCCTCGGTCTGACCTCCTGAGTCCAGAGTCACCACCACCTGCAGCTTTGGCCAGAGTCGTAGGGCCAGTCCTCGGGGTCCTTGCTCCAGAGCCTCCTGCAGCTCAGCTGCCCGTCTAGGGAGAGGCCCTCCTGGGTTCCCTGTAGCTATTGCCTCAACCAGCTCTTCGCCATCAGCCTCCAGGCCCAAGAAGACATCTAGCAGCTCAACTGCGCTCCCGGCCTCCAGGGCCCTCAGCCTGGGGCACCTCAGTGCCTCCAGCAGCAGGGCCTCAGGGTCCCTGGCTCCAGAGGGACTAGCCTGGCCCAAGGCATGCCCAGGCCAGGGGAGGGGGCTGGGCCAGGGGGAGGTAAGGGTCACACGGGCAGTGCTTCCTGGAGCCAGCACCTCTGGGTAGGCCTTTTTGAGGGCTACCAGACCCAGCAAGGTGGCCTGGAGGGAGACAAAAAAGAAGGTATTGGCCATGGGCCAGATCCTGGCCCCCAGTTTGAGGGTTCTTTGCCCATCCAATGGGAGGGTTTGGCTGCAGGTAGGAGTCTCTGGTGGGGCTGTGCTCCGGCCTTTACCTGCAGAAAGGCTTCCCCATGGTACTGGTTTGAGGTAGGGGATGGAAGCTGCCCCCTACTCTCCTCTTCCTGGACCTGGCTGGCCTTGGTCAGAGGAAGACAGTTCCGGAAGGTATTAATATCTGTAGCCCAAAAGACACCAGAGACTCCTCATGAAACTACAGAATTCTCCAAGAGTGTCAGGTAAGATTGGTGAGACCCTCGGGAAAGGAACCCAGGAGAGATCTGGTGAGTGTGGGGGTGCCATAAGGGCCCACCCAAAAACCAAACTCACTGCCATCAAGTCAGATCCAACTCACAGTAACCCCTCCTTGGGTTTCTGAGGTGGTATCTCTACAGAAGCAGATTGCCCAATCTGCCTTCTGTGGAGTGGCTGGTGGGTTTGAACTGCCAGCCTTCTGGTTAGCAGTAAAATGCCTTAGGCACTATGCCACCAGAGCTCTCCCATAAGGGCCCAGGGCCCCAGGATGGAAAAATTCATTTTGAATAACAAACTCATTCCTGAGCCTGGGCATGGGCTGTGAATCAGGACCTTCTGCGTGTGTGTGTGTGTGTGTGTGTGTGCACACGCGCACGGGCTTCTCAGGCTGTGAATCTGACCAGCCTGTGGGGTTGCCTTCTCTCTGGGCCTCCTCCCCAGACCCTGGAGACACACCTGGGCTCCCCGGGAGTGGGCAGTGGGGGCGTTGGGCTCCCCGCAGACACCACCTCAAGGCCTGCTGCTGGCTCTGGTCCACGTGTCGTGTGCTCTGCTCCAGTCTCCATTGCTGCCAAGCAGCTGCCCAGCCCAGGGCCCACCATACCACACGGTGCCGGAGGCTGGCAAGCCAGGTCAGCTTGGCATCCTGGGACCGCGGCTGCCCAAGCACAGCCAATAGGGGCAGCAGTAGCAGCAGCAGCAAGAGGAGGACGAGAAGTGGCCACAGCTGCATCTCCAAGTAGCTCCTGAGAGGAGGAAGGGGCCTGGGTACTGGTCTTGCAGGGGTGAGGGGGTAACCCATTTCTTTCCCCACACTTCTGCACCCAGGAAAACCAAGGACAGATGAAGTTTGGGAAGAAGCCAGGGCCTCTGCCAAGCAGGTGATACTGAGGAGAGAACATCAACACTGGGGTCACACTGACCTGAGTTCAGATCCCGCTTTGCCAATGGTTAGTCTGGTGGTAATTCAGCTAACTGCTCGGGGCTCCATTTTCTTTAAAATGGGCACAGTCAGACCTCCCTCGGAAAGCTGTGAGATACTGTATGAAGAGGGCTTGGCACAGAGCCTGGCAAGAGCCACTGCCCAACAAATAACATCTCTTGCCCACTCCCGGGTGGCTCTGCTTCCTCTCAGGATACACCCGGTCCCAGCTGCATATACCTCCTAGCCCTGCCTGCACCTGCCACAGCCCACTTCTGCCAACTCCCAGCACTCAGGGCGTCTCAGTCTCTCAGGCCTTAGGACACATCCGGCTAGAAAGCAGGAGAGTTGGCTTTAAAGGGCTGGGCCCAACAGGGAAATCCGGCTCGCGCCACCAACAGGAGGAGTGGCTGGGGGAGCTCTTAAAGGGGCAGGCTGCCTAAGGGATGAAGTGCTGGTGTAGGCTGGCAGGTAGGGGAAGTTAAGGCCAGAGCAGCGTGGTCCCCAAACTCATGCAGGTGAAGTTATGGAAAAGGCTCCATTGAACAGCCTAAGCTGGGAGGGAGTAAGGCACATCTCACTTTGGAGCAGATTCAGAACCTAGCTTGAATTTGATGACTGCAGGAAGAGGTTCAAATGCCATCATGACCTCTGAGACAGGCGTGCAGGCATTGAGAAAGACCATTAAGACCCAGAGGCAGAGACCAAAAGATGCCAAGAATACAGCCTTAGATGTTCCAGAGATGCCAGCCTTGAGGGAAAAAGGGACCCACTGGGTGTTGATGCCTTCTAGAACTAAAGATAAAAGTTTATAGCCATAAAAAGAAAGCAACCCTTCTTTGTCCGTTTCATGGAGTCAAGGGCTCCCATCCTTGGAAATGGAATGTGTGTATGTCATCGTAAGCTGTAGGTCAACACATACAAATTCTGTATTTACCCACCAGGGGCAGGTGGACTTATAGAGTATCCCGAAACCGTGTTAGTTCTCCTCTTATGCATAAGTAATGAAACTCTTCTCTCTTCTCTTGGTGTGACTGGATTGACTCTGTCCACATCTGAGTACAAAGTAGGCAAGTGGAGAGTGTCAGGGGGAAAGGGTGAGGACAAGGGAGGAGGAGCTACTCCACGGAGGGAGGGAGCAGGAGTGAGTGAGCTAGCCTAGCGAGTGTCCCAGTCAGCTTCCATTTGCACTTCCCTCCAGTCCAAGCCTTCCCCAGACCCATCTTGCCCCTTCTCTGTGACACTCTTAGTCCCAAAGTTTTGGCACCCAGAGAAAACAGCAACCACCAGATGGAAAATTCCTCAACTTCCTAAAGGCCTCTCATTCCCCATCCCTACCCCCAAATGAAATCTCACAGGACTACTCAAAAAGACCACCAGCCAGCAGACTCAACTTCACCTGGGAGCTTGTTAGAAAGGCCTGGTCTCAGGCCCCACCCCAGACCTACTGAATCAGAGTTGTGTTTTAAACAAGATCCCTAGGTTTGGCAAACACAGTCAAGTTTGGGAAGTATGTGGGTTTCCTGTTGTCCATAGTTACGTCCTCCCTCCACCTCTGCTCTCCACCCAAACCAAAACCTGTTGTCATCAAGTTGATTCTGACTCACAGTGACCCTATAGGACAGAATAGAACTGCCCAGTGGGGTTTCCAAGGCTATAATCAGTACAAAAGCGGACTGCTACATCTTTCTCCTGTGGAGTTCCCGTTTGAACTGCTGACTTTACGGTTAGCAGTCGAGAGCTTAACCACTGTGCCACCAGGGCTGCTTGCTCTTGCCCCCCTTCCCACCAAAAAGGGAGCTCTGGTGGCATAGTGCCTAAGGCATTTGACTGCTAACTGGAAGGCTGACGGTTCAAACCCACCAGCCACTCCACGGAAGGAGGACTGGGCAATCTACTTTCGTAGAGATACCGCCTCAGAGACCCAAGGAAGGCGAGGCTCTTAAAAATGAAAATCCCTCCCTTCAACTCCTCCTCCACTTCTAGGTCTTGCATTGTCTTTCTCTTCACATGGAACATGGTTGAAGCTCACTCTCTGGAGGCTGTTCAGTTCACTTGTACTTTTTTCTTTTTTCCCTTTCTCAGATCTTACATTTACTTTATTTTGTTTTATTTTTGGTGAAAATATACTCATTAAAACATGCTCCCATTTAACAATTTCTGTACATTTTGGTTAGTGACATTGGTTACGTTCTTCACAATGTGTCAACGTTCTCCTTATTTCTGCTCTAGTTGTTTCAACTCCATTAGTTTAGACCTACGGCCCCCTAAACTATATATATATATGTATATATATATATATATAGTAATTTGGGTGAAAGTTTATAAAGCAAATTCATTTTCCATACAGCAGTTCATAT